TCGATCCTCCGAGCTCTAATCCTCCTATAACATTATATGCTTCTAATTAATACTTTATATCTCTAAGGTTATCTATCAATAAGGAGTCAACACAGGTCAACTCTGGTCAACGGTCAACGGTCAACTCTGACCAAACTCGGCGAGTACCGAGGAGACTCGGCGAGTCTAGACGTTTTCACCACCCTCTGAAATCCTCTTACTACACGTCGAGTATCCCCCCCTTTACTCGACGAGTTTCACCTGAATGAATCGCGGGGCCACCCCGACTCAACTCGCCGAGTCTCAAGGACAACTCGGCGAGTCCAAGGTTGACTCAGTCCACCCGTCACTCTCCTCCAACTCACCCTGACTCACTGAGTCTACCCATGACTCGTTTGGACCACCCGCTGAACAGTCCCAAGGCAATCTTCAAGATACTCGCCGAGTCGGATGAACAAACTCGGCGAGTCCATGCCATGCAACCATTCCAACTCGCTTCTAAGGTCAGATCTGCTTCCAAAAACTATAGATCTGGCCTCCCTCGACTGATTCATCACGTAAAGTTCCCATCTTGGTGCTCATAACACCACCTATAGCTCCATAATGGAGTTTTTGACCTAAGGCATGAGGATTCCAATCCAAAGCCTCCATTGATCCCCAAAAAGCTTGGGTAAAGGGACACTCTGGACCTCTAAGGGTCCAGATCTATGGTTCCAACCTCATAAGGGACCAAAAGGGCACCAAATCTAGCCATGAAAGGGTTCAACAAACCCTAAATCTAAATAAACAACAACAAACAAGAAGGTAACTCGGATTTATTACCACAAGATGATGCCCTGGACTCCTAACCCATAGAAATGGCTCCTTCTTGCTTTCTCTTTGGCTAGCTCTTCTCTTCCTTGCAAAAATGGCACCTCCAAGGTCAATAATGGCCTCCTACTTAGCTCCAAGTGCTCACACACGATTAGGGTTTCACTCAAGAGGCTGGTGGGCACAAATGACGGCCATTAGGCCCTTTAAATAAGTCTCAAACCCGAGAAATTAAGGTTTCATTACTCAGCGCAGACTCGCCGAGTCCAGGCGCGATTCTTCGACCAAATCCGCGTCTCTACTCGGCGAGTCTGAGCTCCAACTCGCCGAGTCCCCCCTCACAAATCAACAAAAATACCATTTACGCGATACCTGATAAAAGTCCGGATGTTACAAATAGATAATATACAAAATATATAAAAAGAATAAAAAATGATAGAAAAGCATTTTATATACAATAAAAACACCACATAGAAAAAAAACAGAAAAAATAAAACCACAAAGATCAAAAACTTAGACATTGATAGTTGTATAGAATCATCGTATCTTAGCTATAACCAGAGAGACCAACCATTTAATTTTATCGAAAAACAATTTACAAAAGATTTGATAATTTTCCGGGACAATCTAGTAATTTTTGTGTTATGTTGTGTTTTGTCCTAGTCTTAACCAAAAGTCATATTAATAAGACAAAATTGCAAAAATGGTCCCTGTGGTATGCATTTTTTGGGGGTTTTAGTCCAAACTACGACTTTTTTGGATTGGTGGCCCTTTTAAGCTAGTTTTGTTGCATTTTTGGTCCCCCAGAAAACTGAAAAGACTATAATGCCCTCTCTCTCTCTCTCCTTATCTCTCTCTCTCTCCTTATCTCTCTCTCTCTCTCTCTCCCAGATTTATTTCTTCCTTTTCTTCTTCATTTTTATGGTAAAAACCCCGTCGGAGGTAGATGAATTTTCAGTAACCATCAAGAACAACAACTCCACCGGCGAGCCAAGGGGCTTCCATCGCCACCACGAACATGTAGCACCTGGTTCCTGGTATGTAAATCTTAATTGAGTATTTTCCTTTTTAAGCCTTGGACTCGACGAGTCATAGGTCCGACTCGCCGAGTAGGGATGGGACCCCGGGACGCGTTTAAGTTGGCGACTCGGCGAGTCACCGCTGTTAGATGAAACCCTAAGTTTCTGGGGTTTGCACCCTATTTAATCCCCCTTTCCGCCCCAGGCCAGCCCCCATTCACCCCCTAGAGCTCCCAACCTCGTTTAAGCTTGTTCTTTGAAGAGTTGAAGCAATTGTTGTGTGTTCTTGAAGGTTTTGAAGAAAAAGAGAAGTAGATCCAGAAGAAGGGAAGCCATCCAAGCACCATTGTGTTCTCTCATCAGTTCCTTTAAGGTATATCCCATTTTCCCCCTGTTTCTATGCTTAAGGCTTCATTTAAGACATTCTTGGCTCATTTCCAAGCTTGTATGTGAATAATAATTTGAAATAAGTTGATTGGTCTCTAGATCCAAGCATAGTTGAGCTCCAGGAGCTCAGATCCACTACCTTTATGAGCCCATATTGCATATAAACCTTAGATCTACTCTTTTGGTGCATTTTAAACCCTAAAAATCCCATACATGGATATTTACACGTAAAGTTGGAAACTTTTTACGTGTTATTCATGCTCTAGGAGCCCAGATCTACGAATGACATGGATTGGATTCGAGCAAAATCGCATTTTTAGCTCTTGCATGGAGCGGACTCAGCGAGTCGCTCATCTGACTCGGCGAGTCCAGTCGCGAGTCTCCGGGTCTATCCCCTTTTTGTTATGTCGAGTCGCGTGGTGAGTCCAGGAGGGACTCGGTGAGTTGGAAGCTAAAACTCACCCATAGTGGAACTCGGTGAGTCGATGCCCCGACTCGGCGAGTTCAAGGCAATCTCCTTAGATCAAGATCAGACTCGGCGAGTTGTTCATACAACTCGGCGAGTCACAGTATAACTTGTTCATCGGATGAAGATGAACTCGGCGAGTTGTTCATACAACTCGGCGAGTAGGATGAAGGACTTGAACATCAGTTTGGAAGGAGAACTCGTCGAGTCGACGCCTAACTCGACGAGTAGAAACATAATTCAGGACAGTCGTTTGGACATGGACTCGGCGAGTTAGCGAGCCAACTCGGCGAATCGGGTCAACTGGAAGTTGACTCTAACTTTGACTTAGGGCATGATCAGGGGTAAAATGGTCATTTTATCCAAAGGTCAGTTAGCAGTTTTTTTACTAAGGGTTTGGTGGGAATACAGCTGGAGGATTTCCGGAACAGCAGCAGCAGTCAGACTATTCCCACGAAGATCAGCAGCTACTCCGAGGTGAGTTACCTTCCAGTAGCGGTGGGTCTAAGGCCACAATGTCGGCCCACCAGTAGGAGATGTATGATAGATGATTGTCTTTGTGATATCATCTAGGTTTGCTACTACCTGATATGTTATATGCTAGCATGATATGTTGTATGTAGTAGAGTTCGGTTGTTAGGACTGAAGGGTAGTCAGACACCCCAGATACGTCTGACAGTATGTGATGATATGTTTGCATGTTGGCTTGTTATGTTATATGCGATAGAGGTAGTAGGAGGGGACTAGTCCCCAAGTTCGGTTGTTAGGACCGAAGGGTAGTCAGCACCCCAGAATGGCTTGACACGGGTAGGTCAGCACCCCAGAATGGCTTGACATGGGTAGGACGGCACCCCAGAATGGCCGCACGGGTAGTCGGCACCCAAGAATGGTCGTACCGGGTAGTCAGGCACCCCAGAATAGCCTGGCAGTATGTATGTTATGTGTTGTATGGTATGTGGTATGATGGGGGAACTCACTAAGCTTTGTGCTTACAGTTTACAATTTTGGTTTCAGGTACCTCTTCATCGAAGGGGAAGGAGCTGGCTCGGTAGCGGCACATCATGCACACACATTGGTTTCCGCATTTACTAGATGTCCTTGGGATTTATACTCTGATGTTTCGATTTGATGTATGACTTGTCTTTGAACATGGTTTATGTTGTGATGTAGTTTGGTCAAACAATGTTTTATCTTTTAACATTTTCGAAAAGTAATGTTTTTAAAAATGAAAATTTTGGACGTGAAAATTGGGTCGTTACAGAACACCTCCGTTGCCACCAACTGACGCCTTCGTTAATGCTTCCTTCTTCTCGGATCAACAAAGGATCGAAGTCCTCCATCCTTTTTTACGTTTTTTTGCCGATCACAACAGAAAGGGAATGAAAGCTCCAAGGATAGCCTTCTGTCGGCACTCCTCCTCATGACTATGCAACCACCACAACGTGAGACATGCTTATCAATTTCACAAAGAAAGAAGAAAGACACATCGAATCTCCATCTCTGTTCCATATTCTCGTTCAAAATCAAATAAGAAATAGAGGATCATTGAGATTTGCGATCAAACACACACACACACACACCTATTAATTGATCCAACTAAGATAAAGAAAGGATATCCATGGTTTGATTTCACACGTAAAATCAATTTTAGATTCGAAATTGATTTCATATTGCATTAGGGCTTACCAAGATTGGATCTTGAGAGATCGACGTGGTTAAATCTTGATAGATTCGAAATCGTTTTTCCCCCTGATATGTCTTCAAATTCAATCAATTTCATATGTTGTTCTTGAAGAGCAAACCCAGAACATTGAATGTTCGTGTGTGTGTCGGTGTATGTTAAAGTGCAAACCTGTGACTTTATTTCCATGTGAATTGATTTCCGGTAGTTAAGTCTAAGGGTTTCAATGGAGGAGATGATTAATTTCCCGATAATGGAATGATTATCGAGGTTCATCGGATAAGGGAGGGGAAATAGCATGAACAAGAATTCAAGAACTGGGTGAGAGTTGGGGAAATGGTTTATGGGGGAAAGAGGTGGGGTTACAGGGAGAGAGAGAGAGAGAGAGAGAGAGAGAGAGAGAGAGAGGATAAGTGAGTCCACTTTTATATTTAATAATAATAGTAATAATATTAAAAAGTGAAAGAAAAATGAAAAATAAATTCATTAAGGGTATAATAGTCTTTTTAATTTGAACAGGGATCAAAACTGCAAGCAAAGTAGCTCAGAAGGACGTTCAACCCAAAAAAATTAGAGTTTAGACTATAACCCAAAAAAATACATACTAATAGGGATATTTTTGCATTTTTATCTATTAATAATTCATCAAGTTCACTGGAATTAATGTTGTTTTCAGTTCTCGGTAAGGAACGCTACATAAATAAATGAAAGTGGGCCAGTAGTCTTACGGGCTGTAATCGGACCCAGGGTAACACCGACCGACAACCCGACCTTTTTACGAAGCTGATGCTAGTTGCTACAAAGGAATTGAAGCCATGAAAGACCAAAATCAACAATGGGGAAGCTCTTCGTTGCCCTCTTTCTCTTTACATTTTTCACTGCGTGGACTGTAAAAGCTTGGACCGGTGAAATTCATGGCAGAGTTGTCTGCGATGTCTGTGCCGATGGTTCCGTTGGTCCTGAAGATCACGTCTTAGAAGGTCGGCATCAATCCCTTCTTAAACCCTATCAACTCTATCATATCTTCATTCACATACACTTTGTTACAATTTGTTTGATTTATTTTCTTTCAATCCCTTAAAATTGTTAGATTTAGTACCCATGTAGTTCGAATTTTGCTTAATTTGTCGGTGCAAGTTGAGTCGGTGTCAGTAGTTCGCTCATTGGTTACTTCAATCAGTGCAAGCAATTTTACCTTGACTTTATTCAAGTCTAAAACATCTGTCTTGCTCCGTTAATTTCAATTGATTTTGAACTTCCTGCTTTCGAGGTCACAAAGTTTGTTTTCTCTGATTTATGTTACAAATTGTGGCCACCATTAACAACTGTATATTCGTGTAATGTAATTGCTAAGAGATAACAAGTAAGAGACCTAATTATTCTGAATTTGGACTCCATTAATGTCACCTGATTTGTCATTTGTAGCCATATTCGGATAGTTCTAGAGCATGTATCAAACATGAAAGAGCATATCGAAATTAAACCCTTAAAGATCTTCCACATGGAAATTATCTTTCTCAAAAATCTTATCTTTATACTGCCTTGAACGTAATTTTGTGCGAAATAGAACAAATTGTCCTGCATTTGACACATATATTGAGACAAAAATTACAAGTATTGGTCCCACCCAAAAAGGAGGGACAAGGACACTGCAAAAGACCTAAATGTCGTCCTTTTCATCCTTATAATCCAAAATAGCCCCCAGTCGTGTGTACTTGACACGACTTTCAACTGTCACGACTGTTAGTCTTTTCAATGAAAAAATGTTATGATTGTGTGATTGTAGGCGCAGAAGTTGCGGTTCTTTGCATAACAAAATCAGGGGAAGTTTTAAATTACCAAGCGTTCACGAATTCAAAGGGAATATATACAGTGGCTGAAACTATGCCAGAAAGTGAACGTTGGGATGCTTGTTTGGCAAGACCTATTAGCAGCTTCCATGAACATTGCTCTCATCTTGGAGATGGATTTTCTGGTGTAAAATTTGGTTATAATCATGTATCTGGCTACTCTCATGCTGTTAGACCTTTTGTATATCGACACGCTAGTATTCCAATGTATTGTGCTTGAATGTATGAAGCGTATGATTATAGTATAATAAAATGGCACAAGTAGTTGTACTTAATGTGTAAAGTTTAAATGATAGATAGGATTATGGGAATGAAATTGGAATATGAAGATAATTGTTACTATATGTTAGGCATTAGGTTGGTAAGAAATGGGATGAAATTCTATTTAAAGTTGAATTAAAATTTCACTTGTAATTAATAGTTTTATTTTTGTTTATTTTGATGTATATGACGAAGGTATTTTGGTCTTTTGAAAGAATAATAGAAATGCATTCCTTCAACGCACATCGGTGAAATTTTGCTCCGTTACACATGCAATATTTCTATTTAGTATCAAAATTCAAAGGGCCTATGTCCTAACAAGTGGTAGTTGGAAAGAGACCTAAGGCAGTGTTTGTTCTTTTTTTTTTAAATATCTTTTTGATCATTTTTGTGCCAAAAGATGTTTGAGAAACCAACTGGTTGTTTTTCTGAAGACAAAAGATAAATAATAATAATAATAATAATAATAATAATAATAATAATAATAATAATAATAATAATATTTTTTAACCTTTTTTTTGCAAAAGACCTACAAATAGCTTACATTCTTGTATATGTATTTTAAACCTAATTCATGTCTCCATACTTTTCCATAAGTGGCGAGTGAGTCTAGAGCAAAACTTATGTGGTTCACTATTTATAAAAATAAAATAGTTAAAAGAATATATTAGTAGCAAGTTAGGTCGTATAAACAAAAAAAAAAATTACAATTTTAACCGACGAGGTATAATATCTTGAAATATTTTACAAATGTATAATTACTATACTAGATAAAACAATTTTTTAAATATATAACATTTAAGTATCACTTAAATATTAATCACTTATTCTTTTCATATTGTGACATATATATATATATATATATATATATATATATATATATATATATATATAACATTAAACTATCCCTCATTTATTCATCTTATAAACACACAAACAACAACAAATAAAGCAAAATTAATTTAAGTAGTTATTAGTTTAAAAAAAATCACTCAATATTGTATTGGGTTATTTTTTCAATGGGTAATTAAGTATTTGGGCTATTGATGTATAAAAGTTGGGCTTTAAAAGTCTTGATTTATATTAAATTGTTTGCCAAATAAATTAAGATAGGTTACTTATAAAATTTTAGATAGGTAAGAACTAAATTTTATATATTACTTAATAACAAAAATAAAGGTGGGTCACTTCTACATTTTGACACTATGTATACTCCAATGTTTTCCATCAACACACCACCACTACCACACGTCTACATTTTGAGTTTTGACAATAACACACCCCACCCTCTGTTTGTGATCTCAATGTTGGCGATGTTGCATGACTCCCAACGACTCCATGGCCATGCAGTGTACCACAATGAATGGCCAGTAGAAAATGTAATTTGTCACCAATTGTTTTGTAAACTCGAACATGAAATGTCCATCGGCATCATACCCTGTAAAATCGAAATAACACAATAATTTGTAATTTTGATTATTTCACGCTATATGGTCCCACAATTTTTTACTTAAATATTTTTTCAACTAGTATTACTTTTGCAGTCGTAAAAAAAGTGTCGATTATTTGATAAAACAAATTAATTGACTTGTAACAGGTAGTCAACACCGAGACGTGATTGGTGGAGGTTGGCGCAAAAGGGGGAATAACCGAGGGCCCAAAGAAAACGGTTGGAAATGCAACGGGAAACGCTTTCTTCTCTGGTTTTCATCTCCGTTTGTACAGATGAAAAGCCAGATTTCTCGACACTAAAATGATAGCATGGATAAAGCAGTTGGTGATCACATTCGGGGCTTCGTTTCTTTGGCTCGTTTGCTTGATTTACTTTACCCAGGTCTGATTTTCAGTCTCATCTGCTTCTTTGTCGATTATGATTTCCCCCAATTTAAATTACCATTCATGATGCATGGATTAAGGGTTTTAGCATGATAATCCACTATCTTGGGTAATTATCCAGAATCACAAACATTAGATGCATAGGATTCAACATAATTCCAATTCTGAAGGTTAAATGAAGGACATGTCAGTTTTGCTTTCGAAATTTAGTTCATTCGGTTTTCATATTATGTTCATGTTTACAAATTACCATAGATAATAGACCTCTTGAAAAGCCAACAAACTCTTCTCAGGACATGCACAATTTAGGTCCACCCATGGTTGTTTCTCTTCGTGAAGAACAAAAGTGTTATTTCTCACACATGAATCGAATCAAGATATGAACCATTTGGTTTCTTATTTCTAATCCTTTTCAAGATTTGTTATTCGATTAGGGTTTTAGATCTTTTGTATGGACAGCAGTTTCCTACCAGCTGAAAGACAAATTAAAGCTATCACCCTCAGCTTCTCAGTTCGTAACCTCCATATCATTTTTTCCATGGAGCATAAAACCAGTATACGGGTATTGTTCTAATTGTTACGCTTTCATTTGGTTACTGTACTTTTTTGAAAATCTTGTTTATTTATGGTTGCGCATCTTGGGTGCAGAATTATATCAGATTGTATCCCAGTAAATGGAAGGAAAAGGGTTCCTTATTTAGTCATTGCAACACTTCTCTCCCTTTTTTCATGGGCAATTCTTGGCTCGCAGGAATCAACAAGAAATTCTCAACATCAACTCATGATCTTCTTGTTATTGCAAAATCTGGGCTCTGCGATGGCAGATGTTGTCATTGATGCAATGATTGCAGAAGCAGCAAGGCGTGAAAAGTATGTTCTTTCTACTCACTCCATTTTCAAGGTACACTTTGACTTTTAGAAGTCAAAGTAACTTATAATATACTCCAGAAATGCCATGAAAACATCATGTTTCAAAGAAGAAGACGGTAGATAACAGATGTTGAAATTTTAAAAGAAAAAGATGTTTAAATTTAACAAAATCCGTATACAGTTGTATATGAGAAGTAGTAGTTTTGACCTCAAAAACCAAATTGTAAGACTATAGGGCCCCATTTCTTTTTCTTTTTCAGTAAGTGCTGAAAGGTTAAATGATGTCTGTCTAGTGTAAGTACTGTAAGTAAGATACACACAAACTCTGTTTCGCTTTTGGTCGATGCGACCATTTTACCCTTACGTAAAAAAGAAACAACACTAAAAGCTCTCTAATTTCCCATATTTTGCAATTACATTTCTTTTATAGACTAAATAAACTGTCTGATTGTGAGTAAATGACCGTGTTACCCTTCCCTATTACGTAAAAAAAGAAATGACACCTAAAGCTCTCTAATTTCCGGTATTTGTTTCCATTTAAATGACCATTTTACCCTTGTGTTGATTCAGAGCTAAATACGCGGGGGACCTGCAATCAATATCATGGATGACAATGGCTCTAGGGGGAATATGTGGGAATTTGTTTGGAGGATATGCACTAACTAATCTCCAAATGGGAAACATATTTTTACTCTTCTCATTTCTGCCAACTATACAGCTACTTTCATGTGGTTTTGTGACAGAAAGCCCAATCAGTAGTTTAAATTTTACCGAGTTTCCTAGCTTTAATGCCTCTGAAATATATAGTGGAAGTGGACCAGATGAAGAAAGATCATCAAATGAGGCTCCTAAACCTGGTTCTTTGGTGAGAAAGAGGAGCCATAAAATCAGCAAGAAAAAATATTTAGAGTCAATTAAAGATCAGATGCCTGAAAAAGAAGGATCTCTGCCATTAAAATGGTTTTGGTCTTTGAAAATGGCTGGTTATACTTTGTTTGAAGCTTTTCGACAGCCAATAATTTTAAGGTACAACTTGATAAACTCTCATAAATAGCAATCTGCTTTTACTCATTTTTCTATTTTGGTTACTGGACTTGGAAAATCATTAATAAGACCATTTACTTTTCAAATTTGACTTGTGGTGGGTAATTTTGACCAAAAACCTCATAAATTGAAAATGTAAATGAAGAAAAGACTGTTTCCTTTTTGGACCAGTGTTAGTGACCATTTTACCCTTTTGTCTAGAAATGATGCTGGCTGTTTGTACTTTGTTTTTGAGAAGTATTTATTAGACATTGAAAATTAAGGAAGAAACAGGTACTTGATAGATGATTAGGTTCTCTTTTTAATATAAAAAACAAATATATAGTATATGGTTGTGGTATTAGATAATGATATGTTAATGTTGTATGATTAATTAATTGTATTTGTAGTTCTGATTTAGAAAATTGGGCAAACCAAAACCAGACCAATGGGTTGGTTTTTCCTATCGCAGGTGACGATTCCTAATCTATCAACAGTGAAGTTCTATTACCAAACAGAAGTTCTGAATCTAGAACCTTCTTTTTTGGGCACTTCGCGTGTTATTGGCTGGATGGGCCTCATGTTTGGAACTTTCATTTACAACCGCTTTCTAAAGAAGATCAAGTTACGAAAACTTCTCACGTAAGCTCTTCTCTCTCTCTCTCTCTCTCTCTCTCTTCTTAATACATTAACCCAGCTTTATTGCCTTAAACTCATTAACTTATTATTATGTTCAGACTAAGTCAAACAAAACACCCGTATATATAGATGCATGTTTCTTTATGACTTAATCTTAACAAAATGACTTAATGGGTTAAACCAATAAACCTAACTTAATGCATTAGAACTGCTCTCATGCTATAATTAATAAATATTGTGGAATTTGTTTTTTGGAGTGTAATGGTGAAATGGAAAACCGACCTTATGTATACAACACCTTATCATTACCCTGACTCAATGGCGCAAAAAAATAAAAAAATAAAACCATCCCTTATACAAAAAGTCTGCTTCTTTTTTTTGGGCTGAATGAATCATCTGAATGACCATTTTACCCTGCCAACATATAGTTGTAGTCTGTCACTCTTGACACTTCATTGGTTTCTCGACTACATGTTACATTTCATATCATAACGGATAACGAATCATCTGAATGACCATTTTACCCTTCGGACATGTTGTTGTAGTCTGTCACTATAGTATTGGTTTCTCGACTAAATGTTCCATTTCGTAACAGTATAATTAATTAAGCATCTGAATGCGAGGGAGTAAATGACGATTTTACCCTTGGGGAATATACGTATACTTGCAGGTTATCTCATGTTATACTCTCTCTCACGACACTTCTAGACATAGCATTGGTTTCTAGACTAAATGTTGGGTTTGACATTTCGGATGAAGCAATGGTGTTGTTTGGGTCTGCTCTCTCTGATGCAATCCATCAATTCAAGTAT